CCACAACGCCCGGCTATTTTTTGGTTGCAGCCGTCATTGTTGTTTGGCGGGTCCAGGCTGGGGATTCGAACCTGCCACCTTAGGTGTACGTGGCTGGCGCCTTAGCCGGTTGAGCTATAGGTGCCGAGCCATGAAAATGTCTTTATACTGTTAAAAGATACTTTCATTGCATTAAAAACTCTTAAGTTGGTATTTTGTCTTTTTTTAAAATGCAATTCCAGTGTTATCTAGTTCTAGTTTCTGTTGAAAAGTAGTCATTTGTCTTATGATTGATCTTTCGAAAATAATGTCTCTTTTGTCCTGTGGCTGATTTCAAGATCTGTCTTGGTTTTACGTCATTTGAATATGATACGCCTAAGTGTGGTTTTCTTTCTTCTTGGTGCTCTCAAAACTTCTAGAACCTTTGGGTTAATGTCTTTCATCATTTTTGTTAAGCTTACCATCACATTTTCAAATATGTCCTTTTACCTCTCCACTACACATTTTAATATATTTTATTTTCCTTATTTTCCAGTTCAGCCAAAATAGTTACTAATTTTCATTGTGATGTCTTCTTTAACTCATGTTTAATCCTCTGTTAAAGAAGAAATCCCTTGCCCTCTGTCTAATTACATACTTTATAAATTTTGACTGTATCTTTTATATTTTTTTGTTTTCCATTCCTTTTTTACTGTTTGGTTTTAGAAATAGTCTCTCTTGATCTGTCCTCCAGTTTACTAGTACTTTTTTCTACTGTGTCTAGGATGTTGTTTATAAATATGATACACTTAGACATATCATATTCAAATGACATAAGACCAAGACGGATCTTGAAATCAGCCACAGGACAAAAGAGAAGTTATTTTCAAAAGAAAAATGTTGTTGATACTCTCTTTTCAACTATTTTTCCATTTTTTATTATGTAGTCATTTCTGTGTCCCTATTAAATAACTCCAGCACATGAATCTCATGTGGGTTGATTTTTGTTTCTAGTCTTTCCCTTTTGTATTTTTGTTCATTGTTTTCTTTTGTTCCTTTTAGCTGTGTGTGTATGTATGTTTTAGTCGGGCATGGCCTTATAATTTTTTATCAGACTGGACATTGTGGTGAAAAAAGTTTGAGGCTCCAAAATGGTCGTTTTTCATTGGGGTTTAAGGTTTTTAGGTAGGAAAATAAAGTACTACCAAATCATTTTGATGCTGTCAAAGTTTGGTTTTAGGCTTTTGTAGGTGACCTATTTTAATTTTGCTCTTAACCCTTAAGGTGTGGCTCTCCTAGGATCTCAAATAAAAGCTCAAGAGTATTTACCAAGCCCCTTCCACTTTGATTGGGCTTGATTGGGCTTTGATTGGGCTTATCTTTCAACAACACGTTTGCTGAGATGTCTGACTGGGTGACAGTTAAAACAAACTTTCTCACAGTTTTGGAGGCTGGAAGTTTGAAAACTGATTTCTATCTTTGTTTGGTTCTGGTGATTTGTCTCTTCCTAGATCACAGACAGTTGCCTTCCCCTTAAGTTCCCACATGATGGAGGGAAAAAGCAGTGCCCTGGTGTCTCTTCTTCTAAAGTGCTAATAATTCATCTTGAGGTTCCATGACTTCATCAAAATCTGCTTACCTTCCACAGTCTACAAATAGGCTCACATTACAGGCCCACATTGGGGGTTAGGATTCCAACTGAGGCACAGGTGATACAATTCTGTCTTAGGGGTACCATCATTCTCTGAATTCATGTTTCTTTTCCATGTAGTCCATTATTTATTTATTTATTCTTGGAGACAGAGTCTCACTTTGTAGCTCTCAGTTGAGTACTGTTGCAGCATAGCTCACAGCAACTTCTAACTCCTGGGCTTAAGCAGTTCTCTTGCCTCAGCCTCCCAAGTAGCTGGGACTGGAGGCACCTGCTACAACGCCAGGCTATTTTTTTCTTAGCGATGGGGGGGGTGTCTTGCTGTAGCTCAGGCTAGTCTCGAACTCGTGAGCTCAGGTGATCCACCCACCTCGGCCTCCCAAGGGCTGGGATTATAAGCATGAGCCACTGCACCCAGCACCAAGTTACTCTTTAAACTAGAAGTGTATAAGATTTCCCATTTCTCAAGCCTTACGCAGTGGCCATATCATAACCAAGTTTTATCCTAGGTATAATTATTGCTAAAAGGTTTCCTATTTCTTACATACTTGCCATCCTAATGGTTAGAAAGTAACTCAGTTTCTGATTTGTCTTCCTGATTACTAGTGAGATTGAGCATCTTTTTTGTTTTATTCTTTGTGAATTACCTGTTTATGTCCTTTGTCCATGTTTTGGTTAGGATATTTGTATCTGGGTGTGAATACTTTGTCAGTACTTTGTCCCTTTAAAGGATGTGCACATGCATGTATGCACATAGGCAATATGTTTTTAGTGCTATGTTTTGAGTTTGTGTTTTCCTTTTTTTTTTTTAGAGACAGACTCTCAGTTTCTCACCCTCAGTAGAGTGCCATGGTGTCACAGCTCATGGCAAACCTCCAGCTCTTGGGCTTAGGTGATTCTCTTGCCTCAGCCTCCCAAGTAGCTGGAACTATAGGCACCCACACAACACGCTCTGCTATTTTTTTGTTGCAGTTTGCCCAAGGCCGGGTTGAACCCACCACCCTTGGTATAAGGGGCCAGCGCCTTACTCACTGGGCCACAGTTGCTGCCCTGAGTTTGTGTTTTCTTTCTTTCTTTCTTCTTCTTTTTTTTTTTTTTTGTAGAGACAGAGTCTCACTTTGTCACCCTTTGTAGAGTGCCATGGTGTCACCCAGCTCACAGCAACCTCCAACTCCTGGGCTTAGGTGAATCTCTTGCCTCAGCCTCCAGAGTAGCTGGGACTACAGGTGCCCACCACAATGCCCAGCTATTTTGTTGCAGTTTGGCTGGGCCAGGTTTGAAGCTGCCACCCTCGGTATATGGGTATATGACGTCCTACCCACTAAGCTACAGGTGCCGCCCAAGTTTGTGTTTTCTTAAGGTGTGTTTTCAGCATAAGCTTTGAATGTTTTCTTGACCAGATATTTGGGAAGAGTTTTGATACTCTTTTTTTTTGGAGACAAGGTTTTTCACTCTGTCCAGGTTAGAATGCATGGCCTCATCATAGCTCACAGCAACCTCAAACTCCAGGTTCAAGTGATCCTCCTGCCTTAGCCTGCCCAGTAGCTGGGACTACAGGTGCTCACCCCAGTGCCCACCTAAGTTTTTCTATTTTTAGTAGAAATGGGGTCTCACTCTTACTCAGGCTGGTCTCAAAGTCCTGAGTGCAATTCCTCCCACCTCAGCCTCAAGGAGTACTAGAATTATAGATACAAGCCACTGCTCCTGGCTGATCCTCCCTCATTCTTAATGTTCTTTTTTTCTTTTTCAGACCCTTTGGGACAGATGACTGTCATGTTTAGATATTAGTAATCACATATGTATATGTCTGTATTTGAAAATGGCAGAGGGAAACAACAATGAAGAGGTAATTCACTTGAACAACTTTCACTGCCATCGGGGACAGGGTAAGTTAGTTCCTTTTCACTTTCTCCCTTTCCTCACTGCTTTTCCTTTCACTGTTGTAGCTACACCTTCTTTGAAGTGAACCTGTTTTGCCCTGTTTAGTATCTAGAGACAGTTCATATTTAGACCTCAGAACATTAGGCACAGAAGGACTTGTCAGACTACTAGAATTGTGTTAAATGATGATACCTGCTGGCACGTTTAAAAATCGCCTATCACAAGTAGATTAATAAAAGCTATGAATATGCAGTCATTGGATCTTAAGAGGTGGAATTATGGGAACAGCGTTAGTTCTTGGTTTTTGGAGGAATGGTGACTGCAAAGGAGCACTTTGCAAAGCCTATATGATCTAAGGACTGTAAAGGGCTGCTGAAATAATCTTGCCCTCACATGATGCTTAAATTATTTTTTGCCAAAAGATTCTGAATTCACTTACTTTAGGACATGCACCTTTTTATTTTATGGTGTTTAAAACATGGGAAAATTCATTGACTCACAAAAGGAAGAGTACTTGCATTTCAATAACATTCTTAAATGTATATGAAATTTCCTGTCAAATCTCAGTTCACATTTATCTTGGGCTAAATTTATGTTTATTATTTGTACGTATAAATTCTATGACCTGACCTCTTTTATAAAAGAATCCATTAAAGTTGTCACTCTGGAGACCAGTGTTGGATTAAATAGGTAAAGGTTTCAGATTACTAAAGAACTAAAAAAAAAACACATTTAATGAATTGAAGGAAAGTATGATGACAGTGAGTCATGAAATAAAGAATCAGTAAAGCTACAAATGACTTTAAAAAAGATAGCTGAGCACAGTGGATTGCGCCTGTAGTTGCAGCTTTTCAGGAAGCTAAGCTAGAGGATTGCTTGAGGCCAGGAGTTGGAGACTAGCCTGAGTGATATAGTGAGACCTCATCCCTTTAGAACAAACAAACAACAGCAACAACAAAAACCCCACATATGAAAACTCCAGAAGTAACAAGTACAATAAATAAAACGGAAAATTCCCTACATATCTGTTCAATATCAGATCTAAGCTAGTAGAAGAATAAGTGATGAATAGAGATTATCTGATCCATGGAATAGAAAGAAAAAACAGAGAAGAAAAGGGAAGAGTCTTGAAGAACTTGAGCTTACTAACATGTAATGAAAGACTCAGAAGGAGAAGAAAGAAAATAGAAGGGACAGAAAAAATATTTAAAGGAATAACGGCTGTAAACTTCCTAAATTTGATCAAAAATGTTAATCTGTACATCTAGGAAATGAACTCCCAAGAAGAATAAATACAAAGAGATCAACACCTAGACTCGTCTTTATCTTTTGCCTGAATAACTGTGGTTTATCATTTAGCTACCTGGAAGAAGAAATATAGAAGTTTCTTTGCTTACAGAATAGACTGAATTACCGCTCATTTCTGCTCTCAGAAGTATCCTATGCTATCAGTCCCTGAGCTTTTCTAGGATTCAGCATATATTAGGGCACTTTTGTCAACTGTCTCCTCGACAGGCTGTGGTTTTGAGCGTTCTCCACTTTACTAAAGTACTTCCTTTCTGTCAATACGCTGGTTTTCAGAATTTTGTTGAATTCTCTTACCTGCTGTCAGCTCTGTTCTCATCTTTGTTGTATGTGAGGGTTTATACCTTACTGTCATTTCAGTGGAGTTTTAGGAGGTGATGATGATAATCACTTGCATTCCTGCTGCCATGTTTAACTGGATATTCTCTATAATGTATGTTTCAGGCCCTCGGTTCATCACTTGGTTACATTTGTCAGTCTAAGAACTATTAATATGCATCTTATCTGAGTTCTTTTTTTTTTTTTTTTTTTTGAGATAGAGCTTCAAGCTATCACCCTGGGTAGAGTGCCGTGGCAACACAGCTCACAGCAACCTCCAATTCCTGGGCTCAAGCCTGCCTCTGCCTCTCACATAGCTGGGACTACAGGCACCGGCCACAATGCCCAGCTATTTTTTGGTTGCAGCCATCATTGTTGTTTGGTGGGCCTGGGCTGGATTCGAACCCACCAGCTCAGGTGTATGTGGCTGGCGCCTTAGCTGCTTGAGCTGTAGGCGCTGAGCCAAAGGCTTTTTTTAGACAGAGTCTCAGGCTTTCTCCATGGGGTTGACTGCTGTGGCATCACAGCAACCTCAAACTCCTGGGCCCAAGCAATTCTCTTGCCTCAGCCTCCCAAGTAGCTGGGACTACAGGCATCCATGACAACACCCAGCTATTTTTGGCCCAGTCTGGATTTAAACCTGCCAGCTCTGGTGTATGTAGCTGGCACCCTAGCCACCTGAGCTACAGGCAATGGGCCTTATCTGAGTTTTATCAACTAATTTTCATAATCCTATTTTTTTTAAGGATGGGCATATGAGGGGGCAGGTCCATAATTATTTTAAGTAGGCACCATTTTTATCCTTTTTTTAATGTTGAGAAAGTAGTTGTTTAAAGAAGGTAACCACTCCAATAGCTAGTGTTTGGTAGAACTGAAATTTAAACTCAGGCTGTCTGACCTTAGATCCTGCAGGTGTACCTGTTGCTTCCAACTGTTGTCACTGGCGTCACTGCTGCTTTCTTTTAGTAATTAAATGAAATCATTGGTTTTTTTATTGCTTTTTAAATTGTAGAGTGCCAAGAAATATATGAGGCATTAACCTCAAGAAAGAAGTTACAGCTTTAATGGAGGAATTTCAGAAATTGTAATGATGCCTCTTTCTTTTCTCACTGTTCTTCTATTCCTTTTTTTTTTTTTAAGGTCACTTAATGCATTTTCTTTTTATTGCCCATTTCGACCTTGACATTCCCATGAAACCAGACAGGAAAAAATACCAATTTGTGTTATCTGTAATTCACGTCAAACATGTTCTGTCTTTAGACAGATAAAAGGAAGTAGAGACCTTGAACATAATTTCTACATCTAGATGGTTAAACTTTAGTTACAGTTAAAAGGAAACTAGGAAAGTTAAATTGCTTACTGTCTTAGTGCTAAATGGATGCTTGACTAAAATATTGAAATGTTTGCTTAAATGATCCTTGAAGTTTATGTCTAAAGTGAGCAAATTTTAATATTTTAAATTTAAATGGAAATTTTATGAGTTTTTTGTTTTTTGGAAACAGAGCCTCAAGCTGTCCCTTTGGGTAGAGTGCTGTGGCATCACAGCTCATAGCAACCTCCAACTCCTGGGCTCAAGCGAATCTCCTGCCTCAGCCTCCCAAGTAGCTGGGACTACAGGCGCCTGCCACAACACCTGGCTATTTTTTGGTTACAGCCATCATTGTTTGGTGGGCCCAGGCTGGATTCGAACCCACTACCTTAGGTGTAGCCACTTGAACCACAGGCACCCAGCCATGAGTTTTGAGTGATAATTTTTTTCAGATCTAGTGTTTCAAATACAAGTCTTTTATTCCTGGGAGAAATAGAGATGGGTGAGAAGCCATGATTTCATTTTAAAGAAATTAACAGTCAAGATTTTATCAACAGATTTCCTCAACCCTAGTATAAGAAAAAGTTGGTATCTTGAATACAGTAATTGTCAGATTTTTCTTGCAGGTTCCCAAATGTATTGGCAAAAATCAGCGCAGAAAAACGACTCTTTGCTTGAATGCATGTGCTGCTTGTGGACTATGCTAGTAGCCTAACATTTTTCATGCTATAATTGAACTAAAGGATTGAATGTGATTGTGCCGGCCTCCCATTAATAGTGTTGTCTGCCTTCCTGTAGACTGGATCAATCTTAGAGATGGGCCCATCACCATATCTGACTCTTCTGATGAGGAAGGGATTCCAATGCTGGTCACCCCAAATCCTCAGCAACATGAAGAAGAAGACTTGGATGATGATGTCATCCTGACAGAAGTGAGTTTTTTTAAATCGTTGTAAGTTAGTGCTCTAATTTTTCAGCCACCCTGTGGGCCTTAGGAGAGCAACTGAGAGTTGCTCTCAGTTCTCTTACCTCAACCTCCCAACTGGCTAGGACTTATGTGCCCTCGTTATACATTTCTAAGAACAGCCCCCTCTCCATTCTACCTCATGTCCCTTTGATTTAGAAGCCATATGTTTCAGTCCGTTTTTGGACTAGACTTCTGCACCATTGTTCCATCTTACTATTCATGTACCAGTCTACACTGTCATAATTTCTACCACATATAATGTATCTTCCTGTTAGGTAGAGCTAATTTCCTTTTTTCAGAGATGGGCCTATCATTACTGTACATTTTCCAGAATCATACTATATATATATATATATACATTTTTTTTTTTTTTT